TTCTGCTCAATGGGGATATGCATTTGCAGACCTCACTCCATGTCAGGAGCTTCATCTGGGATGGTTCTTAGAGCTGGGAAACCTGGGCCTGTTTCCATGGGTTACTCTCACCTATCATCTCCCCCTAAGGTAGGCCAGTTCAGGCTTGTTCACAAGGTGATCATACTCAGAAAGAGCATGAGAGTAGACGCTGCAAGGCCTCTGGAGGCTGGAGCTTAGAAATCACGCAGTGTCACTGCTGCACTGTATTGGTCAAAGCAAGTCGCAACAGCAGCACACATTCAAGCTGACTGAAGGGCTGCAAAGAATCTGTGGCCACTTTTGTCTACCACAAGGTCTCAGCATGTTCATCATCTTGAGGAAGATGCAGTATAAAATGCTGTGTGTTCTGACCACTATGAAGAGACTCCACTGTCAATTTATCAAATGAGAAATTTGACGCTGACTTCAATTTACCTCAGGACTCAAGATACATGGAGTAGCTACGTGACTGATGAAACAAGGGAGCACAAGGCTGTTGAATTTTATCATACATCTTTTAGGAACAGTTTGTTCTTCACTGTGCATGTCTTACATTCATAAATTTAAAGAGAGAAAAAGCCCATTCAGATACAAATCTAGGCTATCTCCCCTCCCAACCAACCAACCCTCAAGGAGCACTTACACTAGCAGAAAGCTACCTTGGGAAGTCAGTTAGCTGCATGGTCTTGTTAGAGAAGGTAGTGCGAACACAGATGTGAAGGACTTTAACATCCCTAAATAGCATCATATCACTCTCCAAGGAGAAAGGAGGTTTTAGACAGAATCCAAGCTGATGACCCTGAGGCCCTACAAACCCTTTTCCTGATTCTACAAACAAGGAGAGGGATGGAGTGACACGGGTTGGAAAAGTCCCTCTCCTCACATTGGCCACCTACCAGCATTTCCCCATCTCTAATGCCAAACAAGCAGACAGAAACCCACGTGGGCATATTTGTTGCTCTTACCACTTCCTGCTGTCTGGAGTGGACGGCTTGTTGCTGTGTGTCTCCACCACTCCCAAAGGCTTCTGGGAGACCCGGAGACAGGTACCTGCTGCCAAGTGTCTGGAACTTGAGTGATAGTCTAATAAATGGATCAGATGGGACAAATATCAGGTTGTACAATACAGCAGGCTCATAGGGCCCAAGAACCAAGGATGTTTTAACATAAATCCAGCTCTTAACTTTAAATGATGATATAGGTTCTGCTGTTTTTAAATAGCTACCCACATAATGAATATTGTGGTGTATCTAAAAATTCCACTTATGCTTTATTTCAGAAACAGGCATAAGTGGAATCAGGGAACAACTGGTTTACACTAGTTTTCTTTCACCTCAAAAAGGTAAAATTAATCTGACTACTGGTGGTAAGCTTCTTATGGTCTTTAGTAAATATAAACTAGCTAGATGTTATCATATAGAGGGGGGCCTGTTTAAAGAGTGCCCTCTATATCGTGTTAATATAATTAATATATTAACATTAGGCTGAAATGCCTTTGACCACCATCCTGATTGCTCCTTGTATTTATTCAGCACCGATTTCCCCACATAACATTCTTCACTTACTCTAAAAGGCACTGTGATGCAGACCTGCCACTTCCTACTTGTGTGACATCTGTAGGAAGCAAAGTGGGAATAACAACCTACTTAGGGATGTTGACAGGATTAAGCGTTAATGTGATGTGCTTAGAAGAGTGCCTGGTACTTACAAAAGGATTTCTAATTCAATGTCCTATGCTTGTTACTGGACAAACTTGCCTGTCTTACTCGCAGTATCTTTAAGCCGTGCTTTGTTTCATCAGAAACATCTGTGTTCTTCCATGCAAATAAAACTCCTGCTGGACTCCCCACAATGATCCACCAGACATGGCTAATTCCAGCAACTGCTGTAGCTCATGCTCAAGCAGGGACCTCTGTCTCATTAAATTGCAGTTCCTTAATATGCCATCATATGGATAATTCATTCTCCTCAGTAATGTTAGCTGAGTGCCAAGGGGCTATTCCCTTCCACACCAATGCTGAATGTTAAATGAACATGTTGTACATCATTTAAGAAACACTCAATTAAACACCTTGTATATACACATCTTCTATGTCAAAAAAAAAAAAAAACCTTCAACATACAGAGTGCAAGACTTGATTACTACAGCAAATCTAAAAGAAGTTCTATCTTAAGAACATAAGCATAAACATAACTTTTGTGTAAGGTATTATTATGGGTCCCCTGAACAACTCACTTCACACGGTGTCCACTCTCAAGTACTTCCAGAGTGTTAACCACTTTTGGCAATAATTAAAGTGATTAAACCAGATACATCCATACAATGAAATATTATGCAATAGTTATAAAGAATGAGAAAGGTCCTAAATACTGACAAAGATCTCTAAATTCTACTCATTGCAGAATATCAATAATTCCAGTTATGTAAAAAGCATAGAAACCAAGCATTTCAATATGCATACACATATGGAGGTAAAGAGTTAATAGTAAGCCATTAACAGTAGTTAATTCTGAAACAAATGAAAGTAAGATTAGTAGGGAGAGCTAGTCAAAATAGATTTTAACCTGTGTGAATTTCCTGAGTATGTAGTTGTGCCTGCATTATGTGATCTTTAAAAAGTAATTAGAGTATACAAAAAAGAAAGGTGTGAAGTTTTCAAAATCAATATAAAAATTAGAATATTGTTCTCTAAAATTGTCCCTTCTGGAGGTAGAATCTTAACCACTGGTAAATTTCCACAATTTAACCCTTAAGACATTCAATCAAGCTGTCATAAATTTTATAGTACTCTTATGAGATAAGCAGGGAGAAATGATATATCTGAGTTTCAACTATTCAGTGTAAGAGTCTCTCTGAGTCTCATTTAGGGAATTTGAAAGGGCACTCCCCATTGGCTGAATAGAGGTAAAATGAATGAACGTCAGACAACACATGAAACAAGAACTTGGGTCTACGCAGAAAAGGGAAAGAAAGCTCTTCTTGACAGAGAATATCAGTTAAGGTAAGATATAACTGATCCAAGCAAAAATCAATAGATGCTAAAATCACTGGGTTTGTTGAAAAGACAGAGTTTCACTATATCATCCCAGAGAATATTAATTACAAAAGGAAATAATAACTTCAGCAAAGAAATCTGGTAGACAAAATAGTACAAGTTAACACAACGTAATGCACCACTACTAGTATTCTTGCCAAGATGTACAACTTGAATTGAAGCATGAGAAAACAATCAGAAAAATCCAAGTTAAGGAATGTTCTTCAAACAGCTGGCTGGAGTCTTCAAACTCTTAATGCTGTGAAGAAGAAAAACTAAGGAGTTGTTCCAAATTACAGGAAACTGAAGAGATGTGACAACTAAATGCAATGAGGGACTAGGAGCAGGAAGATTGTTAAAAGGGTAGCATTAACAAATTTAGCACAACCTGAACTTAAGATTGTATATTAAGGTCTACATCAATCTTTAATCCTGAATTTGATCATGATAGTGTGATTGCAGAAGAGAATGCACTTATCCTTAGGAAATGCAAATTGAAGTTTTCAGAGATGAAGGGGTATTCCTGTAACTTAATTTCTGGGGGTCCACCATATAACACATACATAATACATAGAAAGCAAATATGAATGGTGGATCCAAATAAGGGGTACATAACATTTCAGGGTACCACTCCTGCAACTCCTCCGTAAGTTTGAACCTTTCTTAAAATAAGTTTCTTAACGAAATCTCTTTCTCAAGACTTGCTATTTTTCCTGCTACTTAGGTGAACTCTCCTTGCCTTGTTAATTCATCCAAATATCCAAGTTTATGAACCAAGATTTCTGCATTACCAGAATTTTAAAATTACAATAAAACTACCATTGTATATTAATTAATTGAAATCAAGAAGAAACACACAAAGAAAGACACCACACACACATTCTTGGCCTGGGCAATTAACAACTATTTGCCCCACTGTGGGCCAGATATTCTTCTAGGTGCACTGAGTGAAGCAGTGAACACAAGATGGAGATTATAATACCGTTTGACACAAAAGCCTACATGTACTTTAACATTAAAAGCTCACTATTTTGAAAGACATGCAAGACATGCAAGACAACAGGTAAATTATACAACTTAATCGTGCCAAATAGAGGAAATATTTTAAATATTTAATATTTATTTGGTTTGTTATCTAGTGGAAAAGTAAGGTCTTACTACTAAAACTACATGACAAGGACTAGGCTAAGTGCTCAAAATCACTTAACGCTCAAAGCCACTCTATGGATTGATGTAACATATGTCCCCACTTTCTGAAGAAACAGGTTTAATAAATTTAAAAATGAATTTCCCAACTATAGTAGTAAGGAAGAGAGGTCCATAGTGAACCCAGTTCTAACTGCAAGGGCCACAAAGCTCCTCATATACCCCAGCATTAAAAATCTTTAAAAAGGCAATTTTGCAATTCTGAAACTTCCTCTGATTACCAAACATTAGAATATTGTTCTTACCATCCTCACCAACCTCCCTTTATGGAGCTGAGGATGAAGCTGTGAAGTACCCTAGCGGGGAGCTCACACTATTATACTGTTACTCTACCTACAAACCAGGGTCAAGCCCTGACTTAGACCTTCGGGAGAATACCTGGATGGCCAACAGGTTAAGCTCAAATGTACGATACATGTAAAAATCTTAACAGGGTGAGCCTCCGAGAAAGGAGTAGCAAGGAGCTGGAGAAACACATTTGTAACCATTCTTTCTTTCATTAAATGTAACAAAGTCACACATCAATAACATTTATATAATTAAAATTCCCCATATATCCTCTGTCAGACAGAAATTTTCATACTTCTTTCATTGATTCTACCATGCAAATAAAATAAATGGCTGGAAATTCATTTTGCTTTGTTCCTGAAAGGAAGTCTTGCAGGAGGGGAAAGAGGGCTTATCACTCACCAGTTCAACAAGAAATACTCATTTTTTTCCTGACTCTTGATCTTCCAGGTCACCTGCTGCATCAGGACAGAATGTGATCCAGTTGTTTTGATGCTTTGCATAGCTGAAGAGGTTTTTCCAACTCCCTCTCCCTGTTCTCTCAACCCCAGAGAAAAGCATAAGCTTTTAACATATAACTCAACTACTTACTTCCATTAACAAAGGAAGCAGAACCTTGTTAAGAATATGGATTACACTTACTCTTGGGTTTCATTTTCTTCTGAGTTCCATTAAATACAGTAAAATCCTTAAAACAGTGCCCTGACATTCAGCGAACATTCAATGTAGCTCAACTTATTTTCCCTTCAATGCATCTTTTTTCCAATTATGAGTCAAAATTTACTAACATCAGTCCTGCTGAGACTGGACATGTATATTAAAAATGTTAAGGGGGCCTATGGTTGGGAAAAAATTACTACATAAAATCTCATGAATTGTCTGCAGGTTGTTTCTCGCCTACCTTCCCCTTCACCTCCCAGAAACCAGATTATAGGAGGACAGGCTTTGGTCTACTACCCACTGCATTGTTTACTCCAAATATTTCCACAGCCTTTTTACCTACTGTGGGTTATTTGGGGGAAAGATTTTGAAAATTATTAATACACCTCCAATTCCAGCCAAATAAATGATTTCCTCGATACTTGATGTCTCAATAACAAACAAAGGCATAAAATGCTTTTTAAAACTTTATTTCAACATTAACTATGCTTACACAAATCCACTCATGTTCGTTAACAGAATGCAATTTAAGTTTAACTTATCCTACATAATTTGGACCAAAAACTTGGTATATGATTTGCTTTAAAAAAAAATCTGCAATCTGGTTTATTTTTCATCTATTACAAATGTATATAAAAGATCCTCCATCAAATGCTGCTAAAGCAAACAACAAGAACCTTGAGAAATTAACCTTTGGTTTGTCTCTGAAAAATAACACATATTGCACTGTAAAAGTTTATAAAATTGGTGCAACAAAACATTGTTGTAATGTTTCAATGCCAGCTTACAAAGCTCAATAACTAATGGATGTTGACAAAGGTGGGGAGAGCCTACGTATATATGGGAAAATGTAAAAGCTATCTGATCTAGTTAATATTGCATGTAGATCCCAAATCTACTCAAACCAAGATTCAGATAATTTCTTAAATCTGTAATACTATCAGTCCAATTTATCTGCTGAAGTCAACAAGGAAACTCTGCAAAGTAGTTATTTTTCTGATTTGTGCAAAAAAGAAAATTAAATTTCTTCCCCAGTTTTTAGTCCAGAACTACAAGTATTTTTTCCATTGTCAGCATTCATGGGGTGACAGGCAATGAGGTCCACTTCAATTTGTATTAGCACTCATATGCAAAACAGTCCCCAAAGTTAAAGGCCTCATGATTTAAAAATGACTCTAAAAAAATAAAATGGCCCTTCTTGCAAGACTAGAGTAAAACATCTAGCCATACTTGTAAGAAACCTTAACAAAAAATGCAGCCCTTTGTGAATTACACCTCAATTTACAAAAGAAAGGAAGAAAGAAAGAAAGAAAGAAAGAAAGAAAGAAAGAAAGGCAGATAGAAAGAAAGAAAGAAAGAAAGAAAGAAAGAAAGAAAGAAAGAAAGAAAGAAAAGAAAGAAAAGAAAGAAAAGAAAGAAAAGAAAGAAAAGGAAAAGAAAAAAGCAACCCCTCAGAAGCAGCTCTGAAAAGAGGAAAAAATATAACTTAAAATTTATCTTGAAAATCAATGTAAATACAGGTTCAGGGGACAGTTAATAGAGATACATTTTTATAAGGCTACCTAGGATTAGGCTTATATTCTAAGCATTTCAACTTTCTCTCTAGTACTAAACATCAATTTACAAATAACGTTCACTTTTCATTCTTTTATCAAAAGGGAAATTCTAGCTTCAACTCAGTGGAGGGGAAACTCAGGAAACAAAAAGATTCAAACAGTCCCACACAAATATCACATTTTTTCAATTGGAAGAACTCCCAGCTCGACTAGAAGTTCATTTTACTAATATACTTTTCATTGAAACAATTTTTAATAAGTACAAATACATGGCATTAAGGTTCAGAACCTAATATAGGTCTGACAATCAAGTCCCTGTTTTCTGGAAGAAAGACCTCAAGTCCACTCAATTTCCAGTAACAATGTTTTCACAGATAACTGTGCTAATTAGGGATTTTAATTTCCTTCGTATTTTTCTTTTTGGCATTCTAGTCTTAAATACTAGGTAAGAAAATTTGTCCAATTCCCCAGAAGTTGAATTTTTTCCTTTGGTAGCACGGAAGATCCACAAAAACCTCTTCCCTAAGCTGATTCCCAATCTCCAATTTGTACTTAACATGAATTTTTTTATATATATTGTAAAAGGTAACTTACATAAAATATACCAATGAACATTAAATGTAGTTGTTAAAAAGATTTAACTAGCCTTATAATTTAAGTTTTAAAACATAAATATGTTGCAGCTTGATCTGTTGACAATGATTGTCGAAGCCAAGAATTCACCTAGAATTCAGTATCATTTACAAATCTCCATTCACGCATACAAAACACACATAATAACACACAACTTACTCCTCTTCTCTTGAGAGAATCTCCTGCTTCTTTAAATCTTTGGCCTCCCAATCAATTTTTCCTCTCACATTAACAAATTTTCCACCCATACTTCATCAATGCTTTTCCTAATCTTTCATGTTATATTGATGAGCTCTTGAAACCTGCCTCAGAGATTACTAGACAAAAAAATAAATGAAATATAAAGTGGTTATTTCAGAATAGAACATGGGAGTATCAGAATCAAGCTTCCCTACTGGGATCCCACTTTATTTTACTGCAATGAATAACTGCCAGCAAGGAAAAAACCTATATTAGATTCTTTCACATTCTTTGGCAACTAACCAAAGAACCTACCAACACAGATTGGGAGTACACACTATTTCCACAAAGTGCCCCCATAGGAACACCAGAATAGCTGCAATTTATTGAGGCCTCACCTGGAGAAAAAGGCTGTCTGTCATGGGAACAGCCAGGAAACCCACTACTTGGTGGAGATCCCTGAGAAAGTGTGATTTTTTTAAAAATCTGGACTGTACTTAAGTTTCACCAGCCTTTTTCATTGTACTCACAGAAGCAGCAGCTGGTCTACCAGCACTCATACTACCTTTCTCATCCTAGGTTTTCTGTATAACTGCTATGGCTTTGGACTCACAAAATGATAATCTGTGTAACTTGAAGGAGAAAGTATGCCTCCTAATTTCAAATTTGCAATTTCCAAATATCATTTACAGCTCTGACATATAAACACCAACCATCTATTAAAAAAGGTTTTCTTCAAACCTGTACAATTTACAGGTTTAACACTGTACAATTACGAAGGAGTTGTACCCAAAGCAGACCAAATAATTTTAATTATGGTTGCTATTTGAGATAAAAATCCATTCAGTATAGAGCCTAGTGGTTTATTTACTGAAAAGTTCAAACTGAAAGCTGTGAATTCACTTCACCCATTTAAAATAAATTACTTATATGAAATACAGATTCTGGCATAGATATAAGATAATAAAATCAATATCTATGGACTGAACCTGCATATTTCATTTGCTCACAAATTTGCACACACTAAAAAAGACAATTGCAGCAAAGGAAAAAGAAAACTGCCCTTTTGCAAACAAGACTAAAAAGCATCCCTCCAAAGAGGAAAAAAGAAACATGCATATATATGTATAAAGTGTTACAATACAAATGCTATTTCTAGAAAAATTTAACTGCATAGGTTAAAAACAACAACAATGTGCAATATCTTAAGCCATTAAAGCACCAAAAAAAAAAAACCACCAAAATCATTGTTTTTGTAACAATTAACATACACAAATAAAAACATTGATCAAAACTCAGGAAGTAAATACCTTGACTGACATAATGTCCTTTGCTGGGAGAATTTCTCTTCACTTTAAATGTCTCCTCTCATCACTAAAACAATTTTAAAGTGCTAACTTTATATAAAGCAGGCAAATTCTTCAAGTAATTTGCTTTTTAAGTATGCCAATTTGTATACAGCTAGACAAGGAACTAAGAATAAACAAAAGTGAAAGAGGAAGATAGACATGGGGAAAAAACTAACAAGTTATATCTGGACAAAGCAATAGAATGCTCTATCCAGTATCACCTGGGCCTTCCTGGTTCAATTAAATGCATAAGCTAACAGATTTAGGTGTCTGCTGGTTTAGCACACTAACTCCCTTGGATTTACTAAAATTTACACATCAATAGGTATACAGAGTCCTAAGGAAAAGAGTGCCACTTAAAAATCAACATTGAACACTTATTAAAGCAATTTTAAAAACAAAAAGTTGTCTACAACTACAAATGAAGATAAAATGTCATAGACCTTACAAATTAAGAACTGAAGCCTTCTCCAAAGTTTAATTACTCCTGCCCTTGAGCTGCCTTTTCAAGGAAGTACACATTAACCAAATGGCGATTGAGGTGTTTGCTGTAATCTTTCTCCTTTCTAAAAGACCGATCACAGAAGATACAAACAAAATCTCCCTCAGTCACCTTGACTGCCGAGGCTTCCTTTGAATTCTTTCTACTAGTTTCTTGTGGAACTTGCCGAGCCCCATTCAATCCAGAATCATCACTATCCTCTGACATGTTATCACTTAGGTCACTTCCATCATGACTGTGGATGCCTTCGTCTTCATCCATTTCCTGAGACTCATTTACTGCCATGGTGACAGGAGGTGATGCCACAGCAGTTTTGGACACTGCTTCATGTTTCTCCAGTGGCAGAGGAAGAAGCGGTGGTGGAACTGGCTCTTCAACTGCTGGGTCTCTGCCGGAGGGATTCTCTGTTTTGTTCTCCTCAGTGTCCACTTCCATTTCACAAAGCACAGTGTCAGCCTGATGTCCACCATCTGAAGTTTCACCCTCTGGCAAATTCAAGTTTTTTTCAGAGGGTGAAATAGGGGCAGATTCCTTGGTAACAGCAGCAAGACCAGCTAGACTCTTACCTGCATCTTCTGCTTCCACTTTTTGAAGAGGGTCTTCTTTATTTCCTTCGTCTGCAGTGAGTAATTTTTGGTCTTTTGTCTCCTCTTCCTTTACGTTTTCCTTTGGCAGAGGTGGTGACGGTGCTAAGAGATCCTGTGTACCGGTGCTTTCCTTTAGAAGCGGCCTATCTGCAACAGGCACTAAGCCAACTTCAATAAGGACCTGCTCTTTCTGTGCCACTTCACCCTGCATGTTGGACTTTTCCTTCTTATTATCTTTTCGAGGAGACCTTTTGGGGATCGGCTCCGTGGGAGGCAGCGGCTCCATCTCAACAAGCCCCTTCTGAACAACCTCGACCTCAGCAGGCCCCAAGGGAAGAGGAGGCTCCATGTGCACAGGCCCCTTCTGAACAACCTCGACCTCAGCAGGCCCCAAGGGGGGAGTTGCTTCCGCCTGAACAGGCCCCGCCTGAACAGATGCCATGGGAGGCGGAGGCTCTATCTGCACAGGCTCCATCTGAGAAGGCCTCCTCTGAACAGTCTCCCTTTGAGCAGACTTGCTGCCTTTTTTACATGATTTATTTTTCAGAGTCTTCTTTTTCGTACTTTTTTTCATACAAATATTTTGCTCTTTATTCTCATCTATTTTGCTGTCACCCTTCAGCACTTCCTGTATATTTCTTGATTTGCTTTCTGCCTTCTTTTTCTTTTTTCTCACAGGTTCCTCATCATTAACAGGATCTTGCAAGGAATGGGCTTCAGCTTCCATCTTCCTTTTGCTTTTCTTGGTTTTAAAGGTTTTTTCTGAGTTATTTCCTGTATGCATGTCCATTTCTTTAGTTTCTGTGGCTGATTTGCGAGTTCTGGTAGCCATTTGGGTTGAGGCACTACTGTAAGGCTTTTTCTCTTTTGAAACATTATCTTTTTTCTCCACTTTTACAGACCTCTCGTTTTTCTTCCCAGACACATCCCCCTTTACTTTCGTCTGCTCTGTTTCTGTTTTCTCATCAGTAATTTTGTTATCAGGCAAGTCAGCCTCTCGCTTTTTGGTTTTCTTTAGTTTCACTTTTGAGACATCCATTGTTTTATCAGGACAAGTAGGATGCTTAGATTTGAAGTGATACTGCAGATTGCACTTCTTGGAAGCTGCATAGTCACATACAGGGCAATTGAATTGCCGTGGATTCACATGCAGCTCTACGTGTTTTTTGAAATTACTTCTATCTGCTGTTTTGTAGTCACAGTGTGGGCAGTTAAGAGGTTTAGGCCCATTGTGAACCTGTCTTGCATGGCGGGTTACTTCGTGTTGATTAGAGGCCACATAACTGCACTGGTCACACTTAAATGGCTTCTCACCTGAAGGTAAACAAGAGATGTTATAGAAAACATACATGAAGAAATGAATTCAAGATTTATTCAATTATACTTATAAGGAATTGGATACATGTAAAAAAACAAACAAAAAACCACAAAAACTATTTCTTGAAGACTTTATCATGCAATTTACATTCACCATATTTATTTGTATATCTTTTCTCTATCCCTTGACATTGATTCTCACACCAAATGGAGGAATAATTATCTCAGTTAATCCTCGGCTTCTAAAAAGGTCATCAAGCTAGGGTTCTCAAGTACTAGTAAAGAACACAGATTCATCAAGAAGTACACAACAATTATTGGCAAAGTTATTTGGGCTTCTGATGTTAAATTTTGGGGCAAGGATACTTGAAGAGAGAGACAATTTTTAATTTTTTTATGTTTAGCTAAAACAAATGTATAATGGAATAGAATATAAAATTCCCATAATTTAAGATAAACCTTGACACTTCAAAAGAAATATCTTACATTCTAGGCTAAACCTTTAGCTTCCATGTCAAGAGTTTTAAAACAGTCCTTTGGCCTCAGGAAGCAAATGGCTTTTTCTCTAAATTTAACTCATTCATCTGTCCATTGTGGCAAGAGCTGAGTCAAGTTTCACTCAGCAAACTTTTCCAATGACACAGTCACTACTTTTCAGCAAAAATACAGACAAATCAGAAATCCATTCTTGATTTTTTCCCCTACTTTCTTCTAAAGAATGGGCAAAGAAACTAAGTAAATGAAAAGGGGCATACAAATAGATATGGTATGTAAAATAAGCAAAGAAAGTCATAATCACAGGTACATACAAGACCAGAAGCCCCCCAACCCCAAATTAAAGGCATAAGATTAACTCATTCTACCTGAATACATACCCATCTAGATCACAATCTAGTAAATATTACCAAATGGTATCCATACCCCACTGGTCCAACGGAATGCATAGCAGAAAAATGGAAATTGACATTTATGAAAATTCATCTCTCAAACATTCTCAAATTCATATCAAATCTTATTTTTTTCATAAAGCAATAATACTCAGACATTAAGTAAAACCATGTAGACGGTAAGCTTTACATGATTAGAAAATGTCTGATGATAAAATACTCAATCACAAAAACAGAAACTTACCTAGGTATGTCAGACTGAGTATGAAGCTAACTGGACAACCCTTTTCCACATTTGTCCACTGATTCATAAATAGAGGTTTCTAACAACATGCTACATTACTCTATACTTGGCTCTACCTTGTCCTCTCCATTGAATGATTTCAGTGGAGACAAACATTTGCTTAGCATATATAGACAGAGAATGGGGAAAAGATATGTGGCACAGATGTTAAGAACTTGTTCTACAGTAAGAATATTTAGGGTGGTGGGGGGCAAATATAGGCTCTGCAACTTACTATGAGATCTTCAGCAGTCTACTGAAAACTCCTTTTATAAGGCTCGATTTCCTCATTTGTAAAATACTCTTAGGTGTTATGGGCTATAATCTAATCCACATACAGCACTTAGCATAGAGTGGATAGCCAACCAGTTACTATGCATTACCTGTAAGTCATCACTTTTGGAATCAACTGGTAATTTTCAATAAGGGTAAACAAGAGGGAAGATTTCATGTGTTCATCTTGCCTTACCATATAAACCCTACCTCTGAGTAAATAAATAACTGGTGAATGGAATTTATCTCTTTAGGAAAATATATGCGCTCATAAAAGAATTATAATGAAAATGTTGCCATTTTAAAAGCCCTAATGAATAAGGGTATTTACAGAGCCAGCATCAAGCAAGGTGCAAGCATCCACCTGTGAAATGGTCAGGAAATGGAAATTTATAGGACTCTTTAAACTTTGATGGTATCATTTACTTGCTTCATTCATCCTGCCTCCATTTTTGTTTTATTACCATTAAATCTTTCTTGTATTAGAAGATCTAGTCATCAAGTGTAGTTTATTAATACCTAGCTGAATATAATTTCTTTTGCCCTGAACCAGATCCAGCAATATTTACTAGTTTTTCATCTTTATAAATGTGGTCAGATGTCTATTTAATTCTTCCCAAATTAATTTATAAATGCAAGGCAAATTCAAAAAGGGAGTTTTACAAGCTTTATACATTCTCATCAAGAACAGCCCAGAAAGAAAAACATGGGAACTTATAAATTAAAAAGTAATGGGGGCCACACTACTCAGCAATAAACACCAAGTTCTGATAACATAGCAAGAGATAAATCTCAAAAACATTTTATAGAAGCATGTTTTAATGCTTTTTGACAGAAGTCAGAGTATCAGCTGGTGGGGAGACTATGAGAGTGCTGACTAAAAAGGGTAAGAAGGGAACATTTCTGAGGGTGGTAGAAATGTTTCATATCTTCACCTAGGTGGTAGTCAAACATATATAAAGGAGAAAACATACATAAAGTCACTGACCTGTATACTTAAGATGTGTGCATTTTCACGTGTGCAAATTAAACTTAATAAAATGCTGTTTAAAAAATTATTCTGGGGGGGAAGTACAGCTGAAATGGTAGAGCGCATGCTTAGTGTGCATGAGGTCCTGTGTTCAGTCCCCATGTACCTTCTCTAAAAATAAATAAGTAAACACTACCTCCCCACAAAATTAAAAAAAAAAATTTATTCTAATATTCACAAAGACTCTCAAACCATAACATGTTTCAAATGAGCCAACTATTATAATACTGCCTCCATAATAACCATCAAATATTTGGTGAAAGAAAATTTTTTTTTTGCTGAAAAATATTTTTCTATCTTAAAAATAGTAGTCAATGGTGGAACTTGGCAAGTTGTTAATTTCCCTTAGCAAACATCCATTGTGCTCATAATGGGAAAATATTCAAAATGAACTCCTATGCTAGCAGGGTGGGAGAACTATCCAGTGTGATACCTACAAAGATATCATAATGGCAAACACAAACTGGATATATTTCTCCCACTACAAAATACTTCAGCCAGAATGAAATGGTAGCATATCTGCTGGGAATTGTGGATCATGTCAGGATCTCTAGGACTACCCAAGGGTCAAAATGAAATAATTATTCATTCAAGATCACCTATGCTAATACTGACTTTTTAACCTTGCCGCCTACATACCTTGACAATGGGGCTCAATTCTGGTTGGTGATGATCATGATTATTTCAGTCACTGGAGTAGATGAATTTCCCACTTGTTACAGTCCTGCATTTTATCTATTTTAAGTTAATAAACTGGGATCCTGGATTATCTATCATTCTTTAAAGTCTGGCTTTCGTGAATCAGTCCTCAGAAGCCCTATCAATTCTCAAGGGAACAAACCTAAATTTCAGGACCTGAGGAGCTAAGAAGGAACCCCTGAAACCCAGCAACCCCACACTAAAACTTGGTTTTGTACTGTGTGGTGGGGGTGGAACAGTCGGGTAGGGGAGTATAAGACGGTAGGAGTTACTCAGAAAAGATAAACCGTGGTCAGTTTCTCTTAGTCATGGAAATTGCTGAAGATCTGATGACAATTAAAAACTCTCCTCCCAGAAAAAACGCACATACGCATTTATATTCAGTTTTAGAGGTTCCACCTATGGACTCCATGCTTAAGAATCTCCATTTAAATACAGCACTACATTAGTAGAACATTAATTTTTAACTCCAATTTCAAAATTATATTACAAATAAACCATTAATAAGCTCCCAGCTCCAAATCTAGAACTTTCTTATGATGGTAGCTTACTAAAAAATGATAGAAAAGTTCCATTTCTTACCAACCTGAATGAGTACGCATATGTCTCGTTAGATGAGTCTTCTGGGAACTAGAGTAAGGACAAAGTTCACATTTATATGGGCGTTCTCCTGCAAAAATATAATGATTAGTATTCATATATCATATGCCAGTGATTTTTGGCAAAAATGTCATCTTTTAAAGTAGGATTTGTAAAATATGAAAACTGATATATGTATGTATATGCATGACTGGGACATTGTGCTATACATCAGAGACTGACATTGTAATTGACTGTACTCCAATAAAATCAATCAACCAACCAACCAATCAGTTAAGGAGGGGAAAAAAAAAGTAGGATTTGTGAGACACAGATAACTAACTTATGGTTACCACAGGGGAAGGGGGTGGGAATGGATAAATTGGGAGTTCAGGATTTGCAGATACTACTATATATAAAATAAACAAACAAGTGTATACTGTATAGCACAGGGAACTATATTCAATATCTTGTAGTAACCTATAATGAAAAAGAACATGAAAACGAATATATGTACATATATGCATGACTGAAACACTATACTGTACACCAGAAATTAACACAACATTGCAAACTAACTGTACTCCAATTTAAAAAAAAGAATGCAAGGAAAAAAAATAAGTTCGATTTGTGAACTGGTATAATATCAAAACAACAAAATGAAAAATCTTTTGATTGAAGACTCAAATGAAAATCTTCACTCTCCCACCATGATAATGACCTATAAAAAGTGATTTGGAACTTTCAATCTTAGTTGTATGTGATCTTGGGCACACTGTTGCAGGCTTTCAAGCCTAAAGTTTCCCTCGCAGTGAACACTTATCCTGTTTTCCTCAATAAATTATAAATTATTCTGAAGATTAGCATAGAAGCAAGCACTTAACAGCACTCGATAAAAGAACAGAAGAAATCCACTAAGCAAATCTTACAGTAGGCTACCACCTAAGTGAGAAATGAGAAACATGTGATTGCTACTGATGATCATTTCTTTTCTCTGCTCTTCAGCACTCGGTGAATTTTTCCATAAATACAATTTTCAGAACTATCATTTAATCAAAGTACTGTCCTATACACCACCAAATTTTTTAAAGTGTTAAAAAAATCACAAATAGGTAATAATACTAGGGGGAAAACCTTTTTAGAAAGTATTAAGACCAAGTAAGTCTAAGACTAAAAAGTGAAATGACATACATACAATCATTAGATACGTAAGTCATAACCTTATTGTGGAATTATCAATCTTAAAATAATGTGGAGAAAAAGTTAACTAATGGATGATACAGTATATAAAATAAGCCATTAAAATTAGTCACCTAGACTGTACTTAGATGAAAATTAACCACTGTAACAAAAAAAATTTAAGAAATAGCAAAAAGTAGAGTTCCTGTTTAAAAAAAACCTTTTCCATAAAAAATTGGAACTAGACATCAAAACAGAAACTTGCCCAGTTTTCTTTTATTTTCATTCTAGAAATGTTCTTAAATCAACAAATTTAGGTTTAGTGCTGAAAGCATTTTTAGTTTTTTGGGAAAAATTTTACATTGTTCAGTGACTCAACACTTTTGAATTATCAAAATAGAACACCAAAAAAATTAAAATTTAATAAGACAAAGGAAATGGATGGCTGGTAATATTCTTAATGTTGATTTGCATGGTGATTACAAGCACATATATTTATAATAATTCTTCAACTATACTTCAATCAAAAAAATTCATCAAAGTGTACACATAAAAGTCACACATCTTACCATATGTCATAGTTACTATCTGAGAGCTCTACAGATTACAGCCAATTCTAAATTAGGCCCCAAGGTTTTCAAAAACCTGTTAAGGGAATATGAAGTACTTATGACTAAAGTATATACAGTATCCGGGATTTGATTTAAGATATTATAGGTTAGGTTAATTTAATCTAACAGTTTGCTTTAATTAATCTGTTAAATGATTAATGGTATAGGATTCCCAAGTAACTTTCATTTTTTACGCCACGTAATTTTGAACTGTTTAAACTTTTTTACTTTTGAAATAAAATGGTTTCAAAGTCTAGAGACAATTCAATCACAGGTTACAGCAAATTCCAAACAGACTGCAAATGACTAGAGTTTAAAGCTTTAAATTACACAGAAGCCATCTGCTGGGGCTTAGAATCCTGTTGAAAATATCTTTCTTGTAATGGAATTTCATCTGCAAGTTTTATTGTTTATGTCTACCATTTAAATAAAGCAACATCAATTCCCCTCCTCACTATGACCCACTTAGCCTGGGGTTCAGTCCCACAGAATGATTAACTCCTGCAAAAGGGAACCTGATGTAAACAGCATCTCACAGCCCCTTTTCACCTGTGATGCAAAAAATACACTACTACATTACCCTATTCATTTTATTCAGACCAGTAATCAAAGGTATCAATTCATAACAGGAAAATGTACCATAAATAAGAAAATTACCTATAAATAGCTACCAATGTTTCTTTTAAATAATGAGATTCCTGAATGGTAAAGATCTGAAAGTCAATTTAAAAGGAAATAATTAAAGGCTGATGGGAAGAAAAGGGAATGACCACTGATGGGGTTCCTTCTTGGGGTGAGGATGTCCTAAAACTGATTGGGGTGTTGGCTGCATAATTCTGTGAAAATACTAAAACAAATGCATTCCAACTTTAAATGGATGAATTCTGTCGTAGTGGAGTACACCTTAATAAAGTTATTATGTTTAAAAAAATGAATTGTCAAATGTGACAAAATACTGATAACTTAAGTATAAGTGATGGGTACCCGTGGGCGCAGTGGGGCATTCTGTTTACTTCTGAAGTGTTTGAAATTTCTCACATTTTTAAGATGTTCCACATTTTGAATAGAGTACACTTATAAAGGAGAAAGGTCCTCTTACCTGTATGAGTTCGAACATGCTGAACATAATTGTTTTTTCTGTCTGAAAAATAGTTGCATTTTCCACATGTGTACACTTTCCTTGGAAAATGGTTTCTCAAGTGTTTCCTCCAGTGATATTCGCTTACTGTGGTGTACGTGCAAATGATGCACTTGTAGACTCGCTCATTATCCCCGGCTCTGGTGTGGTGTTTCAGGTGAGCGGTATAGTGATCATATCGATTGGTATTGTAGCCGCAGCGGTCACAGCGGATGGGGCCCTTGGAGAAATCTCCCTCTTCTGCAGTGGAAGAGTTGGATTCCCTGGCTTTTGCTTGTTTCTCTGCACTTTCTTCCACAAAAAATTTCTTGGCACTATGAACTCGGATGTGATGCACAAACTGTTCTTCAGATTCTGCTTCATATTGGCATGGTTTACAGCGAAAAGGTTTGGTCTTCAAGTTCTTGCATTTGTCCTCTGTTACAGGTGCTTCCGGAGGAAGATTTTTATTTAAGCTGTATGTTTCTGGGGCAGTTGACACCTCAAACACAGGCTGTGGTTCCACAACACCGAGTTCCAAACTTTCCAGTTCCATGTTTTCCAGTCCATTGTGCTCGCCTTTTGCTTCAGGAGACTCCTCAAGTCCTTCTCCATCACTATCTGAAAAATTGTTATCCCCAACAGGCATCAATTCTGCCATCTGTCTTTCTTCGCCAACCAGGTAATCACAGCAACTGCCGTTTACTTCCCCAGTTAGGGCCACATTTGCCAACATGATAAGCTGAGGCGCAGCCAGTTCTGCTCTGGAGAGATCAGGCAAGTCGTACATGTCATTAGGCAAGGCCATGCCGATGCTACCACTGCTGGGGAACAGCCCTCCTCCTCCAGAAGATTGTCCCATTACCTGGGTGGCCATAACTGTGTTCTGCATTCAAAGCAAAACAAAAAAACACAAAAGCACCACTTTAAATACAACTTTTACTGGTCTAAAACCAAATCATCACTGTAATTCTTTGTAACTTAAATACATTTTCAGATATAATCTTTAAACTCAATAAGCTTCATTACTGAAAATAAGCCTTTAAAATATATTTTAATTCTAAATTCTCTTTACTGCTGTCATGGAGAAAATTTCTATAACCTCTACAAAAAATTCTATCAATTGTTCAACACAATTCATCTACCAACTAGGTCTACTACTGGCGTGCCTTCCCTCAAACACTTTTCATTTTTCCAATGGAAAAATATAAGTAACCTTCATTATTAGTGTTAATTAAAATTATATTTTACATTCTATGCATGAATAGTAAACTGCTATCCTCTCAACTCCTCTTTCAGCAATTTCCTAGTCTGAATCAAAAAAGGGGAAAATCCAAAAGCCATCTATGCATTTATTAAGTACAGTGAAAGCAGAAGCCTATCATCTTTGGTCAGTGAACTGAAGTTCATATGAACTCAATTAACTCCAAAAGAATAAACTACAGCTGACCCTTGAACAACAGGGTTAGGAACACCAACCACCACTGTAGTCAAAAATCCACCTGTAACTTTTGACTCCACAAAAACTAGACTACCAATAGCCTCTTATTAACCAGAAGCCTTATGGATAACATAAACAGTCAATTAACACAAATTATGCATGTTACATGTATTATATACTAAAAAATGAAAATGTTATTAAGAAAATCATAAGGAATAGAAATACATTTCCAGTATTGTATTTATCAATACTTCACCTTTACATTCTCTATGTACAAGATTAACAGTATCTGTCAGTACCTTTGTTAATGTATTTTGTGATACAAAATTCTGGACATGTGACATGTATTACAAACACTAGGCATCAAAAATGAAAAGATAATGTGAAGAAGGAATTCATATTTATCTCCAAATATAAATTAATGCATTGATCACAAAGCAGCAGCAATAGGATTGTTTTATGGTAGTCTACTGTAATTGATACAACTGCTGCATAGTAGTCTAGCCTATATGCAAATAAATGAATCATAAAATGTTTATGGCATTCAGTATCACAGTCATATTCATAATACAGTATTGGAAACAAAGATAAAAAATTTTAAAAACCTCATACAAGTGATGATAGCTGATACGCCATTTCTCAAATTACAAATTATAAAACAGAATATTCATATTAAATATCACTTACCTTAATCCTACATAGAATAAAAGTCTTGCACATAATGTTCTACACAATGAATACTTAGGTAATGAGAATGAATATTCAATGATGTCTCCCACCTCTTGCCGTACAATTACTAGATTTTCACAAGAAGACAAACACAACAAATAAGTTTATTGACTGTGTGCCAAGATCATTTACTATTCATTAAGTGTAAGCAGATCATCATAAAGGTCTTCATCCTTGTTGTCGTCAATTGAGTAGGCTGAGGGGTAGGGGGAAGAGGTTGGTCTTGCTGAGTCAGGGGTGACAGAAGTGGAAGAGGTGGAGGAAGTGGAAGGAGAGGCAGGAACTCAGTATAACTTGAGAGAAATATATTTTCAAATTTGTCTGACTTTTTTGCTTTTCCACTTATCTAAAAATGCTTCTATATGGTACCATTCCTTCTTCCACCACCGGCTTTAGTTTCAGTGTCTTTATCAAACAAGAGCCCATGTCTTAAAAGAAATCAAAAGTAGTCTTCAATAATCAGAACCCTTCTGCCAGACTTATATCAGTCTGATGTCAACTGGTTTTCTGGCACTGCTTCTTCCATGTCTTGTTCTTCATAGTCTGGCACTGGTTTGGAAGCACTCATCTCTAAGTCAACTTCTGTTAATTTCTCTGGTATGTACAAGGGAACCCCCATAAGGCTCTCAGCTGATTTCTCTACACAAACAGTACAGGCCAG